GGCAACGACACTGAGCCGTTCCTCCCCGGAGAAGGTGTCCGCTGGCGCATCGTGAAGCGCCAGCTGCCGATCTTGGAGTTCGACTGCAGCGCGGCAAGCCCTCTCCCTGAGGTCTGCGTAAGTCTCTTTCCCTTGCCTTCGGTCTGCACGCATTTGCTCATCTTTGAATCTAGCAAAACATGTGCTATGGTGTCAACTGTATGTTGGGTGCATGCGCGGATTCGCCTATGGCAGCTGACATTTTATACGGACAGGCCGTGGCCACCCTACCACTTTGACGCGGAACACTGTGGGCACGGTGTGCGCCGCCGCCCGCCGCCGGAACAGCTGTGGATCGTCGAGCCCGAACCGCTGCAGCGCGAGGCACAACCCGCCTTTTCCAGCAGGAAACAATTGCGATGAATATCCGTTCGCGAGCACCATCCAAGGCCAGCAGGCGGGCACCCCCGGACACATCACTTCCGTCACTCGTGAGTCCTTCCGCTTCCAAAGACAGATCAGCGATTGAGTATCCCATTCCGTAGGGTGCGTGATTGTCCGTCAGAACTCGGGTGAGTGCCTTGGTCTGCATCTAGTCATATGGTCGCAGGTACTGACAGATATTTCCAGTCCAAGGTGGCCGCATTTCCGCCGTATACCGCATGGTGCCCCAGGGCGGCCAGTACAACGTTCATTTCAACTTCGGTGCCGGCGGTGTTGGAACGGGCTACTGTGCCCCCACGCCTGCGGCTCGTAACTGTGGCGTCCTCACCGGCTCCCAGCAGAATAACTGAACGGACATTTCTTGTGTTTCATATATTTTCTTGCTTCTCGACGCCGTGGCAGTGGTGTGATGAGTTCGTGTTATGAAGCCGAATATTGCACGGCGAATGCATCTGTATACGTGGATTGTCGTGATGTCCTTTGTAAGATGTACGAATAGTGAAGCCAATGTTGACAAGTAACTGCCCATGGCGACCGACGTACAGATGGGTCTCGGACGGCGATATGATGAGGGGAGATTCGGGGAACACTTTGTCACTGGGGGAAAGAGCCGATGGGCTCTAGGTTCAAATGCACAGCAAATTCGAGGAAATGTCGATATTTGTCCCACATGTATCTCGCGCATACATGCAACTGATGCAAGAAAACCTTATCATGATCATGTTGCCGAAGCCTGTGCCTCGGAAGGAAATACAAAATGTAACTCATATTTGATTCAAATTGATTTTGGTATTAAACTTGTCATTAGTTTTAGCATTTGATCTAGGAAGCCATGCAGCGCAGATCCCCTTTGTTCTCCCTTTCAACGAACAAAGGGATATTTGTATTGCGTGGGATTTGTGCAAGACATGCAAAGCAAATTGTATGTT